TTTGAAGCCCTGACCTACTTGGCTTCCATACCTCCGTTAAAGAAGAAAATTGGTAAGTCTGCCCATCCAGATGTGGGTCTGTCTACCCGTCTCTGATCCACCAATCCTTTGTCTTCACCCGTCTGTTTGTTCATCCATCTTTCTGTCTGTCCATCCATCCATTTTTTTCCCTTTATTTTCCATTTGTTCATCATTCATCTGCCCCCTCATCCAGCCATCCACCGGACCATCTAGCCATCCACCTGTCCTTCATTCATCCGTCTGTCCACCTGTCCATCCTAATGTCTGTGCATCTGTCTATTATCATGCTTTTTATTCACCCATGTGCCCCTTCATTCATCCATCCATCCATCAATCCATCCATCCAACATCTGTCCATCTACCCACTGTATATCCCACATGCACTGAGACCTTCTATAGAGCCAGACCTTGCTCAGTCCTGGGTTTCCCCATGAAGGGAGGAGGTACAGTTCCTGCTTCCAGCACCCCCCTGCCAAGCTCACCATCTGGTGGGACAGAAGACAAACCAGGCAGTGATAAAATAGTATGATGTATGTGGACAGACTTGGGGGTTTGGCAAAAATGTCACATTTCATTATTATTAATTTTTAATTCACATTAGACCCTAATACCCCCTTCCCCTGCCTGGGCGGGACATTCAGTTTGTCATTTGTGGAGAAGCCCTTGAGTTCAATGAAAATCTGGGAGGCTTATGTTGCTCCTAAAAGAAAATGGGGGAAAGACCTTCACCCTTCATCATCACTGCTGGAGCCCATGGAATCTCTTCTATCGGCTCTCTCCCTGCCCCTCCCCAGGCTTTCTGGCCCAGGGAAAGCTTTGCTGGACGGAAGCTGACAGGCTGCATCTCAGAGGCACCCCAGACCTTCCTTCCAGCTGTCCTCAACAGTGGGAGCCTCTGGTCTCTGGCAAGTCCTGGCTTCGTTCCCTCATACCAGGTGCCTGGTTTGCAGGAACACCAGCCTCCCCATGGCCCAGAGCCTGGAGCCTGTGGGCTTGGCTGCTTCCTTAGGCAGGGTGTTGGGGCAGGGTGGGGGTGTAATCCAGCAGGGAGGGAGGCTTCTTGTGAAAGGGGGCTTCTAGCTGAGACCTCAGTCTTGAATAGGGTGAGACCGGAGGAGGGGAAGAGGTGTTTTGGCCAAAGGCTTGAGGTTGGGGGGGTGGTGAAAAGGAGAGAGAGAGAGAG